CTGGAAAATTCGTCCATCCATAAGCCCATACTCCGGCCATGGGTTTGATAGCCTTATTTGCAAAGAAGTAGTCGCCAAGAGAAGAGATGAATGCTACCTCCTTGAAAATGAGTAAAGCGTTTGATATGAAGCTAACTTGGAAACGATCTGCTTACTTTGTCGTACTTTTCTCGGTAAACTGCAAAATTAAACATATCGCCAACAAACAGACATTTTAGTTCTTCAAGCGGTTCTGAAGATATTGAAAGTATATTGTAAAATCCTCAGAGATAATCAGGAGAAATTAACCGCTAAAAATAGCATACCTGGGGCGATTGTCGTTGGCTTGGGCGTAACTACAAAAGATGTACTATCAGATAAATTAATTTAAACTAACTAAAAATCGATACCTTCAAATGCATTAAGTGATTAGCTTTTTAAAATTTTCATCTCTGAATTGTTTGTAAGTAAACCTGTACTAAAGCCTGCGCCAAGTCATAAAATTTTCAAAAATTACGTCTTTGAAAATAATTATTTTAATCAACATGCGGTCATGTTTGCTAACATACCTGGAGGAGTTGTTTTTGGCTCGGGTGAAACTATAAAAAACATATCAATTGAATTGCTTTGCTTCAAAAGCCTGCGTTAAGCAATTAGAACAAATAAAATTTACAACAAAAATGCAATCGATGTCTGCTGGCATACCTGAAGCGGTTGTCGCTGGCTCGGACGTAACTATAAAAAATGGTTTGATAAATAGATTTAGACTGTCTAAGAGTAAGCTGGGCTCAACCTGCGTGAGTAATAAGACCTACGTTGTTGGAAAATAAGAATCGCGATAATATGCAGTCACTGTTTGCTAACATACCTGGAGAAGTTGTTGTTGGCTCGGGTGAAACTATAATAAACATATCAACTAAATTAACTCGTTAAAAGTCTGCGTTAAGCAATTTGGTCTTCAAAAATTTATGCCCTCGAAAAATAAATTTCACAAACTGCAATCGATCTCTGCTGGCATACCTGGAGCGGTTGTCAGTGGTTGGGGCGTGACTAAAAAAATGGTTTAGATTTAAACTGTCCAAGAGTAAGTTTGCTCAAAGCCTGCGTTAAGTAATAGGATCTCGACCTACGTCCTTGAAAAATAAGATTCGCTGCAATATGCAGTCGCTGTTTCCTACATACCTGGAGGGATTGTTGTTGGCTCGAGGGTAGCTGTGAAACGCAAATGCTTTTAGCAAAAAATCATAACATTTCCAACTTTATTGTTTCTTAAATTTTTCTGCTAAAAATGAACTTTAGTATAAACTCTAATTGACAAGAAACCTCTACCTGTTGGTTCACGAGTTTCTATTATTGTTGGGCGGTGTCTGAAATTAATGTTATTTATCGCGTCAAGTAAACAGCTGTGATTGTTGTTAACTTCAAAATCACATTCAACTAGACAATATCCAAAATTCTTAGTCTAACAACA